TTGGAAGATGTGCAGAGAACTCTAGCAGCTGTGTTCAGCCATCCTTAATTTCACTATTTACACCTGCGCTTGTGCTACTGTGTGACAAATGCTTTCATTCATAATGGTTCGATTTTGTGAACCTGCATTGGTATTGGATAGTTTGGGTAGGCGGGCAGAGCCTGCCCTGAAGGACAGAAGCCGGGGTAGGTGAGCATGTGCTGAGTCGGGTTGTACAGGATGTGAGGTGGAGGCACCGGGCTGGGAGCCACCGGAGGAGTGGGCTTCTGCTGTAGGAAAGGATAAAAAAAAATAAAAATAAATGTTGCAGATAAAGGAGACTGTTCATTATATGAAAAGTAATGAAGTATGATTGCTGCCTAATGTACTGTAGGAGCCATAGTCATAAAAAAAACGACAAAATAAAATAAGATGAGAGATTTTCATGTCCTTGAAATAGATTACCAGACGGACATTCGTGCAAGAGAAATTGCATTTTACAGGCAGTGAAACAAATCTGCACACACATAAATCAACATTATGTTTCAAATGAAGCTATGGTAATGTAATCCCAGGAAAAAATAAAGGTGAGGATACAGAAAACACTAACAAATCCTGTATAAAATACAGCCGATTATGCAATTGATGCATCATTTTTAACAGCTTGATCTCGTGAGTTTCAACAGATCAGAAACTGTGTTAATCAGAAGTGAGATTTGTACACTTCTGTTTTGAAACAAGCTTTACTGAGGAGCTGCCATTAAAATAATGGATTAACACATCCTAGAGGATCCTGAGCTTTACACACAGATGTTAGGGAGTTTACGTTGTTCAAAGTCACACTGTATTTAGCCCGTAGGCAATAGGGGAAAGTCACAAGTATAATAAAAATCCTGAACACCTGTGTCAGCCACGTGCTATTACAGGCTTGTTTTTGTTTGCTCAGAAAGCCTTTAAATTTTCTTTCTTTGAATTTTTAGTGGCTCCTTCACTCCAAATCTGTATTTTCTTGGCCCTCATGCTCACCATGTCCTTGTAGGCTCCGAGGATGGCGGCAGTGATGATGCCCAAGAACAAGCCGACGACGCTGAGCACCACCGAGGCCCACAGCAGCCGGTGCAGGTGGATGACGTCCCAGCAGCTGCTGACCCCAGTGAACTCATAGTAATGTGAGTGGTACTCTGTGCTGGAGAGGGAGGAGGGCAGAGGTCAGTACAACTGTGAGCTGGTGGTGAGCAGGACTTCTGGTTCAGGATTGTAATCATTATTGTTATAAACTGCAAAATCCTGTTCATTTGCAATCATATTAGAGATGTTGAGTTTGCACCACAGGAGTGATTAATACCACTAACAGCTCGCTTTCATTTAAGTCTTATCAGTCAGTAGGATCAGCAGACCAGCGGAAGGTTTTGTCCAGTGGTTCTCCAGTGTTTTCTGTCAGGCCCCCCTTCAGAGGACAAAAATCTTTCGTGCCCCCCTCGCCTTAAATAGTCATGAAATGAACCAGTTTAAATTTACTGAAATTAAATAGCATGAGCAGTCAAATAGTGTAGCAACAACTTGCTCAGTGATCAGTAAAAGTAACTGGGGGGGGGGGGACACAGGCTACACAACTGCTGAAAGTGCCCATGGGTAGATGGTACATTTTACCGAGGTTCCCTGAACGCCTCACATGCTGCTCCGGTAGATGTTACCAGGTGTCTGCAGTGCAGCTCCTCTGACAGGTCAGCGACCAAACATTTGTTGGAAAACAGTGGAAAACGTGTTCTACACAAATTTTCCTAAACTGAAAAATTTTTTATTAGCAGCGTTTTTTGTTTTTTTTTAATGAACGGACTTTTCTACGAACTGAGCGCATTATAAATGGTCATACTATTGGCCATCATGTTTTAAGAAAAACTGTGATCGCTGTTAAATTCCGGGGGATGCCACACACTTTGAGAAACACTGGCATAGAGCAGGGGTTCTCAAACTTTTGGGGGTCAGGGACCCCTTACAGGAGAGAAAATTTTCGAAGGATCCCCTCATAATTGTAACATTTACTAAGGCCCTGTTTACTACCATTTGCACTCTTGGATGCCCTTGGAACTATTTGTATTGTAAAACTTAACCTAAGAACTTCAAACCTATTCCATAGTGATAAAAAGAAAAACACTTTGAATCATATAAATACCACTTGTATACTTTAAAACAGAGTCATTTTATTCCTTGTGGACTCAACATGACAGCATTTACACTTTTCAAGGAATTGATCTTAAAAGTTTTCAGAAAATTAAGAGTAGCAGGACTGACACATCCCTTTTAAATAAGTCTATACATTTCAAATTACCAGTCTAATTCTGACTTTTATTAAGTACTTCAACTTAAACTTCAACATAAACTTATGATTGCTTCTCAATCAAATAATTTGCAGAAAGCTCTGAAAAAAAAAAATCATAATCAAAGTTACCATAACAGTGTTACAGGCTATCTCATAGTAATTAAGCCTATTACTTTAGAGAACTCTTTTTTGTTTTATCTAGATTAAGGTTTCTTGCAATACTTTTCTTTTAGTGGTACAGCTTGTCGTAGCTGCTCAATAAAAGTATCGTGAAACAACTTTTATTACTATTCATTTCATTTTAGTGACTCAATATTTCATATTAAAAAGTATTCTATATCTTTTATTTTGTATTATTGTGGCATGCAACTACATATGGTTCAGAAAATATCACTAGTTGACTTCTGCATCATCAATTTTTTTTGTTAATGTCTACTCAAAGATGGGACTTTTCATGATAGGTTAACTTTTTTTCAATTCACTCATACTAAGACATATTGGATCCACTTGTCCAATATTGCAGGTTCTGAGTTAATGGCATGAGTAGAAATAACAGTAAAAGTTTCAGGCTTTTCGCTTTAAAAGTTCCTCAGATATTTTTCAAACATAGCCTCAAAATTTAAGGTATGAAAAAATGTGCTGAAAGTCGGTCAGTGGGAAATTTTTATCTTTTTGTTAACTCATGTAGCATTTGCTATATCAAGCTAAAATTTCACCAAATACCGTTTTAAATGTAAGCAATTTATGATCAAAGGGTTTAGAAACAGTCGAGCTGAAGGCCTTTGATGATTCGAGATGAATAACTCAGTGGCATCATTATAATTCCTGCTGTAAAGCTTCCATCTTCGGCTGCATATGGCAGGTGGTTTTATTTTAAATCTTCCAAGCAGGGAAGAAATCAAAGACTCTCTCACACTGTCCATCACTCACACTCGCTTTATTATTTTATTAAGCCATCAAAGCAGCTTTTACCAGCTCATAATTGATGAATGCATGCAGGGAGAGACTTTTTGGTGCTTATAGTAAACTGTAATATCCAGGACTTGAAAGTTGGCTGTAGAAAAGAGACCTCTTTAAGTGCCAAAATCACAATTCCTGTCTGTCCTTTAAGAGTGATTTCCAACAGCAGTGCCTGTAAATGCAGTGTTTTTTATCCTGCTATCCTATTGATAAAAAATAGTTAATTAACATGTTAATGTACTGAAATTAATGGAGAATAGTGGTTATTTTTGTCTGAAAGGTAGAAAGTTCATCTAAAACATGATGCAAAAAAAACCCTGTAAATTGAAGTTAGTGTGTAAGCTGCATTGTTTATCCAATAGAAATTGTGCTCACACAGATATAAAGAAATGAGGTTTGATGTTGCTCAGCTCCCAGCCACATCTCACCTGCCACAGTTGTACAGGTAGCAGCAATAGCAGGTGTCACTCCTCAGTTTCAGCTTGCATGTCTTGTCGAATGAACGGCACGATACCTGCAGCGCCATGAGTTTGAAAAGTTAAAGATGTTCATGAAAACTGATACAATGGGAGAAGCAGGAGACGGATGGACAATTTGGATAAAGAAATACATGAAACTGTCAATGCATCTTCTATTTTATTGGAATTTGGTTTGATGAAAGAAAAAATAGATGCAGTTGTTGCTTTCAGTGAGACGTCAAACGGTGCATTGACATGGTTTGACCAGTAGATGTAGCTATCGCACTTTATTCAATCAGGCATCAAAAGGCTGCAAAATGAAGTATTCGCCTAAAATGCAAAATTCATGCCATTGAAAAGAGACATACATGGGTTACTCTAAGTGTTTGATAAGTAATCTTTTTCTTTTTTTTTCACAATTGCTCAGCGATTTATTGTGTGTTTAGCGTTGGTGCATGTATGAGAATCACCTCAGTATAGTAGCTGTCATATGCGTAGCCCGATCCACTGGAGTAAAAGTCACACATGTCCTCCTGTAAGGGTCTTATGTCCTGAACAAGTGAGACGATTCGTAAAATAAGTTAAACACACGAGACACAAACATTTAGAATCACAATATAAACATTTTTCTGTGCATCAACATATTTTAAGAGCTAAATCTCTGGAACTTCATAGTTTCAGTGATGCTCCTTTTGCCTCTTGTACCTTAAAAAGTAACATATGTGTGAAAATGAATCCTGGCTTCTCTAATTCTGTCCACCTTCCTCCTCTTCTTCTTCCTCTGCGTCACTGCAGCAGTGAAGCTTTACAGCGTCTATCTGCACAGGACTACAAAACCTACTGCACTAAACCTCACTGGACTTTATGCAATATGAATGTAATAAAACCATTTTCACTGTCCAAAGCTTGAATGTGCAATAAATGTGACTTTTACTGTCCCGAGAGCACAATGTTTATATATCTGCAGAGGTTTGATAGCAGTGTCGATATCAGTCCAGCTTTTAAACATTCATTAGGGAAACTGAGGTGTCGACATCTACGATATCAAGTAAGGAAGCACCCCTGACCTTATTTGACCTTTGCCTTTTTTGGTTTGCTCACATATAAATACATTTAATCTGTTGTCCTCCTTGAAGCCCCGTTGATTTACCGTATACTTCTTTGCATCAGAGTTTTCTGTGGTTCGGAGAAAGGCCACATTTAATCAGCACTGCTATCCTGAAAGTTTCTTCAGGTCTTCAGCAGCTCTGTTCAGGTCGAGCGCTGAGATTAATCTCCCTGCGTCTGCACATTTCCTGATCTGACCGATGTGTGTGAGTGAAAACCCGTCTGCTGACCTCAGCCCATGCGATTTGATTTGGTTTGTGTCACTGTGCGTTCAGACAAAACGGGCTGAATTAGTTTGTGCTTTTGTCTTTTCAGTGCATGTAGATACTCACAATGAACTCTGAAGCAATGATCCCATCCACGATGGCACAGAAGAAAGACGCGATGACCCCCATACTGATGAAGATTATAGATGCCACAAGCTTAAAAGGAAGTGGAGAATAGAAAGACAAAGCAGATTCATGAGAAGAAAAAAAATAGTAAAGTGTCATTAGCGTAAGCTGTGCAGTTTATGTATGTAACTGTATGGATTGGAAATGCTCCTCTGACATATTTCTAGGAAAAATGGCAACACATTTCTAATGGTGAAGGCACAGAAGATTTAAAATAGAAAAGGAAATAAATTTACAAATAAACTGGGATTCTGCAAATCTGTTTATAACAAATTTGGAAGATACTAAAAATGGTACAATAATCTCTCATCATTTGATCACTTATCAGTACCTATATATAATCATAGTACCATGGTTTTATTTTCTTGAGTACTTAATTATTCTGCTTATGAATTAAAATGTAGGAACTTTACTTTACACACACACTTGTGTATCTAAGCTTTTAGTCTCTGCTGGTGTTTGTCCTTAATGGTCGTCTGCAGCGTCTGGTCAGCAGGACGATAAAGGAAATGTACAGCTTTTTGCTCTGACAACACAGAGGCGCTTTGTGGCTGATTTACAAGCAGAGGAACAACGTGCAGGGCAGAAGGACGGCCTCTTGTACTAGCAAGGTCAATCTAATTCCCCGTATCTGACGCACACGAACACGCACACAAATCCACACTGTTTCTGCTCTGATTGCTGATCAATACCCTCAGTATTTTTACTTTTAAAGACAAGCTGAACGCCCGTTCCTTCTTCAAGGTTTCTACTGTAAGACACAGTCGTGTTCTGATATCACAGCAGACCCAGCTGGCTGATCACAGATGTCTGATCATAAACTTTATCACTGAGCAACGGTTACTGTTGCTTCAATGGCTCCTTCTGGACCGAACCTCCTGCACAGAAACACATGCTTTATTTTTTTTCCTGACTCTTCCAGTAGTAGCAAGAACAAAAGAGAACAGGTAGAGCAGCTTTTCATGCAGTGATATAAACAAATTCTTTGATTCATTGGAGGTTTTTTTCTTTGCTTTATTTGATCTGTGATGCCATTTCTATCTTTCCTGACTGGAACCCAGAGATTTGGTTCTATTTATTTAATATAGACGACCTTTCTTGTTTGTATTATTTTCAGATATTACAGCTAAAACAATTTTTGAGACTCAAAACAGAACTTTAATTAATCAAATAAAGGTGTAAGTTGTCTCATTCTACACGTGCACACCCTCACATTTCAGAGAAAAGACAAATGTAGGGCCTTCAAATAATAAGCTTTATTTGGGATTGGCATTTTTGAGACAAATATGATTTATCAAGTGGTTTAATATTTTTGAACAATCAGGTTGATTTGACAAGAGAGTGTGAAAACTGAAAGATTTTAAAATCAATTTTCCTCAGCAAAGTGAAATAAGAGCCAGGCTGAAGGAAATAAGCTTTTTTCTGGGTGGGTTTTATCTGCCACTGGTCCAGACTCTCCACTTCATTAGCGGTTTAAATGACTCCGCTTTTATGGGCTCCAAGTGGGAGATGAGGCCAGCAGCAGAGACAATAGAGCCTGACAACTGCATTACTTCACATTACCTTAGCACCAGCTGCTGGCACATAAAACATCCACGACACCCAAACCTCCCCTGATACCGAAAAGTCAAATACTGTAAAAGACTAAAGACACACACACACACACACACACACACACACACACTATAGATAGTTTTCTACTTTTAGGAGATATGTTGATAAAAAATACAGTAGAAAGAAAACAATACTGGAAACGAACTTACTGAAGTACTATACAAGTACAATTGTAAGGTGCTAATTCTAATTTATGCTTTTTAATTTTATTCCATCACTTTTTCTTCGGTAACTTTTTAAATTTTATGTTTTGCTTTTTTTTTTTTTTTTATAAGGCAAGATACGAGCTCAACTCCCTCTGTACTTTTGCATAGTTGGACTACCAAAGAAAGACTTTTATTTGAAGAAGTTTTCCATTATGGCACGAGTATTTTTACTTAACATTGGCATTATGGAATCATTATCATGACATTCTAGCAAACCTGTCTGCAGACAGTTGTCTTTACACATTCAACAGTTTTGGGGAAACATCTTCCATCATTCTGAGTCATACTTCTGGTCAAATAGTGAATCTAAGTCCAATACATTTATTTTTTTTAGCTCCATTTTGGTCTCCGCCAGCAAATATCTGGCTCCTCAGTTGCTAAATACTTCGCTATGGTCTTCAGCTACTTTTTGGCCCTGAGCAGGTAGAGTAAGTTAGGTTTTTATAGCTTTTTGAAAATTATGTATTATTAATTTTTTGGTTTTATTGATGCAGCTATGAAGGTACAGTCAGGAAATGAGGGGAAGAGAGCGGGTGTGGCAGGCAAGAAATTCAGAGTGTGAACATTTCAGTTAATTGTAGCGCAACTATGTACATTTACTCAAGTAGCCTACTGCTCTTAAGTGCAAATTACTTATACTTTGTACTTTAGTATTTTCTTCTCCTGCCATACTTCTACTCCATTACATTTCAGAGAGAAATATACTTTTTACTCTAATATTTTTTTTTTCTAACAGCTTTAGTTTTGAGGTTTGCAAGAATATAATATATATATAAAACATATGTTCATCTTATGAAATACAGTGTTTTGTTACAAATTATCAAACAATAAATACAAGTACAACTAAAACAGTTAGTGAGTTTGCTGCTTTTCCTTTAGGTTCATTTAACTACTTTAATTTGTTTTCAGTAATTTTGAAGTTTAAACTGTTGGACAGACAAAACAAACAATTGTATAAAGGTGTCACTCTGCAAGATTCAAGCAGATTATTCATTAATTAATCATTAATTTGCAGTCTTAAACAAATAGTTAAATTGTGTATTTTATCCTTTTAATAGTATATAATAGTAAGTTTTTCTAATTTCATAAAGTTTTACTTAAATAATATCTTAAATCCAGATCCTTGATTTGGAACTGAGTTTTTTTTAATTTACAGTGTTAAGAATCAAAGTACTTTTTCCACCACAACACGGTTTCATGTTGTATATTTTGAAACACTGTTATAACAGACGGGTTGGACAAACAACTGGAATGCTTCTTCCACTGCTAAAATACAGAGAAAAATACCAATAAAAGACAAAGAAAAATGTTTTTGAGAAGAAAAGAAAAGAAAAGAAAAGAAAAGAAAAGAAAAGAAAAGAAAAGAAAAGAAAAGAAAAAGAAAAGACATTAGCGATAAAGACACAAAGAGGAATTTTATAGCTTCAGGAAAGATACCTATCATATTACGTAACTAAAGTCGCTGACCATTGCAAGGTCTCATTCCCCTGCTCAGTGGTCCAGCATCCAATCATGACCACAGCTGGACACACTGCCAATAAGAAGTGATCGTCCCGCGGCCTGTTGGGTAAAATACGGCCTTTTAAAGGTTCACCGCTCTGCTCTCTGAGCTGCAAGGTGACCATGAGGACGGTGGGCTGTGAGACAGAGGCAGTAACTACAGAGGAGGCTGCTGCAACCAGGAACATGAGCCACATGAAGCATTTAATCATAAAGAAATCTTACGTGGTATCAGGGCAGTGGAGCCTGCTATCAGGGCGACGGGTAAAATGGGAGTTTTTCTTTCTTTTACAGACAGGATTTCATGCTCCATAGTGCTTTTAAAGGACGAAATGAAACGTGGTGGTGTAGGAGTCATTTATTTAATGTCAGTAACCACAGAGAGGACTGGTCTCTGAAATATTCCTTTTTAAACACTGTGAACTAGACAGTGTCATCGGTATGTGGTGAAATCTTCCTGATGGGATAAATTGCCTGTTTTACACAAGCAGGTTTTCTGCTATGGTTGAATGTTTTTTCTTTGCAAACGTGTTTATAATAATATAGAGCTCATGATGTGCATTGTAGGGTGTTGCATGTTTTCAACCCCATAATAAGTACGATGTATGGAGCTTCGCGTTAGTTCAGACAGGCACGGAGTCAGGCGGTCACATGGCCCCTCCTGGCCAATCGTCATCGCTAAAGTCCAGCCCACCCACTTAGCGTGCTTTATAACTGAGGCAGCGTTCATTCATTCTGCCCGCTTCACGCTCACCACATCGCTGCTACTCCAGCCTCTGCAGATCATCAAATCTCCTCCTCCTCATCAACCACCACCTTTTAAAACCAGTTCAATCTCACATAACCCCGGTGTTTCCCATATCGTGGGATTGTAGGTTGCAGATGGTTCATTATTGTACCTTGAACTATGTAATCTAGATTCTGTTAGTGAAGATTATTTAGTTGGTCTCGTGTTCATACTGTATTCGAAAAATTGTAAATTGTAAATTCATGGCTCTGCGGGGGTTTGTGATCTCAGGGATTATCTGTGTCATGCTTGCGTAGATCGTTTCAGAGCATCACGAGCAGAGTCACCGCCAAACTAAATGTATGTGATCTCAAATAAATGGTTATAACCTGACAAAGTGTCCTGTCTGAACTGCATTTATCTCACCATGACTGATTCTCACTACAGTTTTAACTGCACACCAAAACTTTCAGATCACCAGCCAGCCTGCTTTTGTCACTTTTATAGGGTAAGAAAAAACACAAAATCCTCCAGGGCAGTGACTTACAGTATGGCTTTTAGTGAAGCTCACTTTTTTTTTTTTTTTTTGTGGTCGGAAACACCAAATACAACATTTATAAAGCACTTAATTTGGATTGTATTTATCATTATTGTTAATAAATAAGAACATAAATAATTGAGCGAGAAAACAAATGACAAGTAGCTGCTGCTGCTGCCTTCTTTCAGCACCTCAGAGAGTTAGATTTTCTCTTCTGGCATTCATGCGGATGTTACTTTGACGACTATTGCGGACCAAATACACAATCCTTTCAGCCACACTGCAAAAACTATTCAGGAATGGTTCGAGAAGCACAACAAAGAGCCCCAGTCATTGACCCAGACTCCATATTTACCAGATCTCAATCCTACTGAGTGCTAGTGGGATACACTGGACCAGGCCCAATCCAGGGAGGCTCCAGCTGGCAGAAACACAGCACCCAAAGGATCCAAACACTACGTGGCACTCACAGCGGTCTCGTGTCCAGAGCTGTTCTGGCAGTGGTTTTAACGTCGTGGTGGATCAGTTTCCTGCATATCTTTCTACCATCTTACTGCCTTGATATGCAAATTCTGCATAAAACGTCAGTTACAGTGAAACAGAAACCTTCCTTGCTTGGCAACAGTAGAAGAACTTCTCTAACTGTTTACAGTTCAAACCACATCAAACCCTCTATCTGCCCGCTTTATGAGGTCAAAGGACCAAAAGGGCTGACAATCCAGGTAGCTAGACAAGCTCCAGAGCTCTCAGGTGTCCGCGGTATTGTGGCACGGTTAGTTGTTCTTTAATGAGCAGCCTCGCTCTGCCAGTCAGCTCTCATGTTACTGTATGAGCCTCAGATGCAGGTTGGGAAGAAGACACCTGTTTGAGACATCATGACTCATGAAAGACACCGTAGACCAGCGCTTGTATGGCAGCGATAATACCATTAAAGTTTAAAGCACAGAAGTGGGAGTGATGCCAGAGCAAGCAGGTAGTTGTACATGTCTTTCACACATTCAAAGCCACAAACACAACATGATAAGTGAAAACAGCAAGGACTACAGAAAACAGTGAATCAAACCTGACTCTATATTTGTTCAATTATGCTTTGTATTAAACTTTGTCAGCTGTACGCGCACACAGACACTGCTCATGTGCAAACAGCAAAAAGAAGGCTGTCTTTGTAGACTGGATTAGATACAGTACACTGTCGCTTAAAGTAAGCCAATGTGATCCGAGCAGGCACACGACACCCTGGACGCCGCATAAAAAATTCACAACACACACACACACACACACACACACACACACACACAGAAACTGATGTACCACTGATGTGTCAATAGGCACATGTCTATTGCTATGTAAGACATCTTCCAAAAGAAAACATGTTACTTTTTATTTAGCTTCAATTCTGCTGCTGTTTTAGCTTTTCTTAACATATTGAGGAGTGAGTTCATTTAGTGATATATGGGTCATATCGGGCTGCAAGGTGGCGCAGTTGGTTAGCACTGTTGCCTCGCAGCAAGAAAGTCGCCGGTTTGCGTCCTGGTGGGGGCACCGAGATCTTTCTGTGTGGAGTTTACATGTTCTCCCCGTGCAGCATGGGTTCTCTCTGGGTTCTCCAGCTTTCTCCCACACAGTCCAAAAACATGTTGAGGTTAATTGGTGATTCTAAATTGTCCGTAGGTGTGAATGTGAGTGTGCTTGGTTGTCTGTCTCTAAGTGTGGCCCTGTCATAGACTGGTGACCTGTCCAGGGTGTCCCCTGCCTTCGCCCTAAGTTGTCTGGGATAGGCTCCAGCCCCCCCTGTGACCCTAGTGAGGATTAAGCGGTGTATAGATAATGGATGGATGGGTCATGTCTGCTGTTGCCCTTTTTGTCCACACATCACCAAAGGACCAATGAGGACCTCAAAAAAGGACGGCCCCTACACTTTCCACCACTTATCAAAACGACTTCAAATGTGACCCGGCGCCACATCTGCCAAGTTTGACATAGATCGGATGAACGTGTGTCAAGAAAAGCAAAGAAGAGACTCCTTCATTTAGAGTTTGATATTATGTGATGAGGGCCTATTGAGTCTTTGTTTTGAAATGAAAAACAAAGCAGGGTTTGGTAGCCCCCTTTCTCCTCCTCATTACTATCCAGTTACAACTACAAAAAATATACCGAAAAGAATAAGATTAGTGAAGAATAACTGTACCATCAGTGCACTGGGTTCTTTCCGCCACAAAGCATAATCAGATGTGTCGAATATAAGCATTAGAACTATTTCAGAGGTGAGAAAAAGGACTCTTATTCTGCTGAGGTTTCTGTGTCACTGGTGTAGTCTTCAGACACATGCAGGGTTTCATGTATTGTGAATATGATACTGACTATACGACTTAAGTGACACAGCACAGCTTCTGGTTGCCCTGAAGTCGCACAGGTTGACTGTTGATTATCACAACCTCTTTGAGATCGACTTCAGACTGATTGGAGGTTAACTCAGCAGTGTAGGGTTATCCAGCCTAATTTTGCAGGGATTTTTTTAAGTCGGGTCTTTGGTATAACTTCAAGTGTCTGTCTTCTGGAGTCATTAACGTGATGATTGTTTGAACCCACTGTTACACAGAGTGGAACTTTGATGATATTATACCTGTGTCCCTGTCTGAAATAAAGGATTGTTGTCGGCAGCTGACCAATACTAACGCAATTTCCCCTCTTGTCATTGAAGTCCAGAGAAAAATGCATTCACTTCCCCCTCAACCACAAATCCAGTCACGTACACTGGCCCGGGCACAAGGTCCAAGAAAACATTACGCCGCCATCGACCTAATCAGATTTGCTTCTTGCTCATATCAGAGCAATTTCCCGCCAAACAGTTTAGTGAATTTGCAAAGTACGGAACATGATCCTCTAATTTATGGTGTATATATGGTCCTGTTTCCAGGAACAATGTTGCATTTTTAGAAGATAACTCTTAGGAAGCCCAAAAAGCTGACAGACATCACCTTGGTAGAGAGCAAACAGGGCTTGCAGCATGAATGTGACATTGCAAAATTCAGTTGTCATCACAACAAACATGGTTTTGTTTATCACAGGACCCCAAAAAATTACATCCCTACTGTAGGCTAAGTCATTAAACAACTATAAAGCCTTTTACTTGTTGCTTTCTTAAAACAGATTGCAGTTTCTCCTGTTTTAATTGCATTATTCAGCACATTATAGCCACTAACTTGTAGTGTGTAGGACTGAATCTAACCAAAGGACAATACAGTTGATTCATAATAGATACATGTTTATCAGATCAATGGGCTCCATGTTTTAAGTTTGAAAAGTTGAAATATAGCAAAAAACATTGTTAGGCCTGGTTAAGATAAAAAATGTGATCATGTGCAGAAGAAACAGACAAACTATGATTTATATGGTGCATGTGACTGTGACATCTAATGAAGCTTCAGCTCCACTGAAATGATGGAAAGTGGAAGCTAAACAAAACATCTGATGTGTTAACTAACACACTGAAATTGGTACAGCCAACAAATCCTCTTTGCCAAATGTCATATTTGTAGTGTATTTTCTACATTGTTTTCACTGGTGCTCTGTTCAGGTTAAGGCACCTATTCGCAGATTCAGCAACACTGTTCAGCTCAATACTTCCATCTAGTAATGGAAGTAAGTGCATATTAATTCATAATGACAGGTTTTACACTATATTTTTTATAGAAATTTGACTAAAGTCTACTCTTAAACTGTAATTACTGCTTACTTGTTTGTGACCAGTTCAACCACTGGGCAATTTAAATACATTATTCAGTTATTCTGAATAGTTAAATATCATTTTGTGAAGCAGAAACTTTTTTTTTTTTTTTTTGTTCCTGGCCTGTTAGTCATTCTGCGACCCATTAGGAGGTCCCAAACCTCAGGCTGGAAACAACAGACTACACAACATAAAAAGACTAATCATATGAGCATGTTTGCTGCTTAATGTGAAATATGTGAAAAAAAATACATATTGACGATATAGAAAGTAATGATGTACACAACAGATTTATCTGTATGTAGGGATCCAAGCACATCTTTGAAACTCTTTCTCTGCATTTGCTGCAGTTGAATATACAAATTTAATAATTTGGGAATTTCTAAATGACAACCAGAGAAGGTCTTACCTACACTCAGTCATATGTGATTTTGGTACAAGTGTCAGAGGCACAGACTCACCATGGCTCTGCGGTTTTCCACCAGGTGGATGCCAACGATGCCCAGAAATGCTCCAAAACTGAGCTGGAGGAGCAAAGGGAAAAATCAGAGTGGAAGACGTGAGAAGAAACATCACAGTTCAGCTGAGGAGAAGATAGAAATAAAATAACACGTGCCATGAAGTGTTTGAAGGGTTCATGTTTAAGTTCATTCTCAGTGTCAGGGCAAAGAAATGTGAAGACTGTGGAGGTGACTGTGACTCACTGTGATGCCAGAATAATATCCAGCAACAGGCACATTGTCGGTGCGAGTTGCTGCGATCAGACCCAGGGCCAGAATCACCAGAGCCAGACTCAGCAGGGACACGGTGATCCACAGAGCAGTCTTCCTCCGACGTAGGTACTGAGCTGAACGGGAGACAGGAAGCGTCTTTACATTCATCATAAGTAAACCATCTTCTCCTGAGCCCTCCGAAGCCAACTCTGACCAGAAAATCCAAACATCAACTTCTAAACATAATTTTTCTCAAGACGCCATCATATATTGTAGTAATTTATGTGAATAAGTAAAAGTTTTGCATTCAAAATCTTATTTAAGTAACTATTAACAAAGTCTACTCAATGGATCAAAGCACTTTTATTGTGCAGGTAAAAATGCCTCCTGTCCATGTTTCAGGACTAATGTAATTAGTGTTAAGCTGATTGTACCTGATTTATTCATTTGCATGCTCAAAATTAACTGGTTTTGTTATTAGCGGTCTATATTTTGAAGCACATGTTCAATAAAGCCTTCTGAAGATGTTTGTGCAGTTTTTAACATGGTAAACATCAAACTAACAAATAATTGTCTGTCAGATTGATATATATAAAATAAGAATCACTATTTTCCTTTAGATGATTGTGGAGTAAACATAAAACAGGAGAAGCAACATTCTAGATCTTTTCTTCTTCTTTTTTTTCTAAAAGAACAAACTACTTGTGAGAGCTAAATTGCTTTTGGGGCCTTTTGCAGCCTTTTTGCTCACATAATTACTCCTGCACATGCAAATGACCACTTTCTATGCAAAGAGCAGCACTGAATGAAAAACATGCACAGTATTATAAGGATGCTGCCTTTTGTTAGTGTACCTGCTGGATCCAGCTCTTCTGCAGCTGTTTGCTGAGCTGTCTGCAGGGTTTCAGGCTGCTGCATGTTGACTCAATCAGGACCAAATAAGCTCTGAAATTTCAAAAAAATAAAATAAAATAAAAAAATAAAATAGCACAGATCAGGAAGATGTGCTGATAGTTTTCTGAGTTGAGTCAAAACAGAATCTTCATCCTCCACGGAGGATACAAGACGGGCTACTTCTTTATAATCCACACATTTGGTTGATGATCAAGATTGTTTTTTCTTTTTCTTCTCACTGCTGACTCTCTGTGAGCTCAGGAGGGTTTAAGTTTACTAGAAACCTGACAGAGAGAAAGAGGGAGAGAGAGAGAGAGAGAGAGAGAGAGAGAGAGAGCGAGAGCTGCAGAGAGAGGCCAATCAGCTTCCTGCATTCACCTCAGTGATAAATTATTAAACTATTTATCTTACATAAGTTTGATACAACTTGTATCTGATTCCTGTTGAAATATCTGACAGCATGTGGTTAAACTCTACATAATGTACAATAAAACATTGGGTATTATGAGTTTTTGTTGAGTTTTATTTTAATGTGGAGGCTGCTGGATCACTGACTGGTCATGATGCTGCATGAGTTGATGGTGAATGTGTGATTGCAGCGCCCTCCACTGGCTAACAAGCCCTATAGCCTACAATCTCTTTAGCCAAATGAAAGCACCTGGGACATTTAAGAAGTTAAGTTGTCTGTTGTATATTTCCATAATATGTAGAAAAAGAGACCGATTTACTGAAGTCTCACCTATATTTGCTAAATATTTCAGTCTTTTTCAAGACTACATGGAACCCTTACCATTATAAAGGTTGGCTTGTATTGTGTGAATTTAAGATATTTTGGGAATTTTGGTGAGTAAAAATACAATTTCTTCAGTATGCAAGTAGACTGAATCTTCAAACAATAAATGAGCGGACGATTGGTTATTAATACAAATAATGCTTCAGGAAAAAAGCGTAAAACATCACCCAGTTTCAACCTCTTTGTTGTGAATGTTTTGGGGTTTTTTGTCTTATGTGATTATAATAAAATTTTAATTTGATTGTATGAAGTTCATTTGGATTTTAAAGTGTAGGTTGGATGAAACAAGCAATCCACTGACATAAACTTGGAATAAAATATTTATTTCAATTCATAAACATCTGTACAGCAGTGGCTTATTTACACATCTGAAGCTGGGAAACTTAAAAAACAAAGCTAAAAAGTGAAAACAGAAAAAAATCACGCGTAGCACATATATTCATACGCGTGTGCATATATGTGCGTGTGTTGTTTCCAGCATTTGTTTATTAAAGTGTATGTTAGAGGTGCAGAGAGACAGCAGCTGTGCACTTACATGTCAGGCAAATGAAACCTGGTTGGTAGGAAATATAAATTCTATTTTTTTGTGCAGTTCTTTTACACAGACAAAAGTGTACACTAAATTAAACAGTGTAAGTATAACACATGCTTTAAAAGCATTTGTCAGATGTGAAAAATTAAATACCTGAGCTGTGAAGCTCTGGCTAGCATTGCAGCAAAACAACTGGACGAAAAGTGCAGAAAATACTGTAAATATTTCTTTAGAGTTGCACTGCTGGTGAAAAAAAAACAAAAATCATTCCCTTTCCAATCCACCACTAGAGGTGCTGACCTCTTGTACAAAATGTGCTCAAGAAATAACAGTTCTTGTTAAAAAAAAATCATGCATTAGCAGCAGAAGTGTCACGCCACGGTCATCGCGACCTCTTATGACAGTGTGCAGGTGGAGGATTTGGGCGGCTGCTCCAGGATGGATTCACGTCGCAGGTCGTTGGGCAAAGTGCCGCCCGGACCCCAGACTGTGAGCTCTCCATAGATCCCCATCTCGATCATCTCCTCCTGCCACGGGATAGAGATGTTTCCTGAAGCAAACTCTTCAAAAAAGTCCATGTCCTTGTCTTCCAGCTGCACGCCTTTTACTGTGGAGAAGGCCCCGACGTCATCGATGTCTTTGGCATACACTGTCTTGGAGTCTGGCACAAAAGGGGGAGGAAGAATCCCTGAGGAGACACAACAAGGGAGGGTGGGATATTTAATTTTTTTTCTTTCTTCTTTTTTCATGTTGTACAAAATTTGTCATCACCATACAGACCATATTGATCAAAAGCAGCAGTTTGATGGTCCTGAGCCACCAGGATACCCCTAAAGCTCCTTATCATTCATGGCTTTTAACTCTAGCAAATGTGAGGTGAAAAATAGCTGCAGTCTCTTCATTCAACCAACAGGCTTCAGCAAAGGACCTTCATCGCAGTGTGTTACACACTGAAACAAACTACAAGATGTGTGGTCAGTTATCCAATGAAAACTATAATATATCTGATATTATTAATAAATGCATATACACAGAAATGCTGTAAAATGGACCAATCATTATTTATGATGACGGTGTTAGTGCACTTTAAACGGTAAAACCAAATCCTGATTGTCCACAAAAACATAAGACCTCACCTTCATTTAACCTAATGAAACTCACTAACTCAAACCAGTTAAAAGAGCAAAAATAAAAGCCAAACTTCCTGCAGAATCATTGTAAAGAGAGAGAAGCTGATTAGGAAAATATTTTCAGAGCCAAACCAAACTAAACATACCAGCATCTATACATTGATACAAATGATTACATATGTCAGCGTACTGTAGGAAAATTAAAAATCCTTACATAGTGAGGACGAAATGCCGGAACACTTTTGAAAACAAACTGAGTTTGTGCAGTTTGTGCAAACTGAGCAGAAAGTAATTAAAACAGACAAAACAATGTCAGCGAACTACTGGGAAACTTAGTGGGTTTATGCCCGAAAATGACCTGCATTCAGTTTCCTCCAGTTGATCTCGCTGAAGAAAGAATGCGCCCTCAGCTCGTCACATGAGCCGTCCTTGAAGCCGAGCCTCTTGTCGATCTCTTTGCTCAACAGACCCTCGCAGATGGACCGGGCGTTCTCACTAAATTTCTCTGGATAAATTACTGGATCGTTCAAGATCCGCTTCTTCACCACCTTGTTCTCCACCTTTAACAGAAGAAAACAGTAGGATGAACAAAACCTGCTTCAGTCCAAACACATTTTGGTCCTTTTATTTCTTGAATGTATCTGAATTTTACATATTAAAGAGAATATCCAACTCAAGTATTTATCTGCAAAGCTCTTTTTTATTACATATGTAGAGGATGTGAAGGGGAATTCAAGTACAGTCTTCTAATTGTGCTCTACAATGCCACCATAAATCTCTTTTAAAACAAATATTTATACTGTTGTGCGTAGAAACACAGATATCAGGGTTTCAGGTTTCACGGCAGCATCAGGTCACAAGTTGGCGAGGCTGAGCTGGTTAAATCTGTATTGTCACACAGATTTAAACATGGCAGGACTTAAATAGAATAAATAGAGGTAAAGGGACATTAAAGACACTAATACATTTAAAGACAGTTCAAAATGTGGGCTGAGAACAGAAAAAGAGAGACAAATTTCACACACACCTTCTCTCCTCGGGTCCTGAAGGGCCCCTTGGCAGCCAGAAACTCATACAGAGTGACGCCCAGAGTGAAATAATCCACAGAGTAGTCATACTCTTCTCCTTTCAGCAGCTCTGGAGCCATGAAGCCTGCAGGTGACAGAAAAGATCTAAATAGAACTAAAACTATACTTTCTCTTCACTATCAATAGAGGAATGGCTCACAATGTACTACTGCACCTACAGTTCTAGTTTACTTGAGCATTTCTGCTTTATAGTACAATGTAGGAGGGAATTGTGAACTTTCTTATACTTCACAACACTGCGTCAACTATCTAATGTATTATTGAAGCAAAAGCTGTGATTTTTTTTATTATATCATCTACCAAACCCTTTGCAATCGTTCTATTTTCTAACAGTTTTCATTTTCTTTGTACTGCAATTTGTGTAGTTAGGGGTTCAAAAGTGCTGTACAAACAAAACCGGCTTACCTTACTTGTGAAGTACTTTGAACTACTAACACTTCATGTAAAAGGACTGCTCAGAAGTAACTTGTTTTGCTTAGTTTAACCAAAATGAATGTAATACTGGACTATTTAATGCACATCAAACTAGAGAGAAGCTTGGGCGGCTGTGGCTCAGGGGGTAGATCAATTGTCCTCTGATCCTAAGGTTGGCGGTTCGATCCCCCGCCCCTCCACAGTCAAAGTGTCCTTGGGCAAGACACTGAACCTGAAGTTGCTCCCAATGGCGGGCATCACCTTGCATGGCAGCTCTGTCGCCACTGGTGTAAGAATGTGTGTGTGAATGGGTGAATGAGAAAACATTGTAGAGGGCTTTGAGTGCCGCTAAGGTAGAAAAACGCTATATAACTACAGTCCATTTAACCTTCTAATCAAAGGGTGAATTCTTCATGATTTTTTTTTAACAAAATATGGTAAAATACGCATATATGCTGTGTTTATCTTTTTTATAAGTATGCATTATATACATTACATAGTTTGTTCATTCACTGTAATATATTATAGAGAGTCAGAACAACTCCATTTTCAGTCATTTAGTTAACACCTACTGTGTAGGTATATGCAATATATATACACTGCAGCATGTGGTATTACACGTGACCAGATAAATGTCATCTAATAATCAGAGTGAGAAAGACAAACACAGTAAAGCTGTGGGTTCTGTAGCTGTTGTTCTTACAACTCTGTTGGAAGATCAACTGTAACCAGGTAAACATCATTTGTTGATTATTTTGCCGGTACCTGGAGTCCCTGCATAGCCCTTGATTTTGAACTGATCGTCAGCCAGCTCCACAGCCAAGCCAAGGTCAGAGATACGGACGTTACCTGAAAGAGCAAACAGCCGGTTAACGTCAAGAACCGTCCACGTCACAGATACCAGAGGTGACTCAAAGATGTCCTTGTGTGAGAAAACAGTGTGTGCTGTATGTGTGAAGTGTGTGTGTGAGTGGTTTACTGTCAAGGTGAGCTGCTCTAGCGTCATTATAAAGGTGCAAAAAGTGTCTCGGGGTTGAAATTTGACTGTGATTTAGAGACAGCTTGATACTTTGGGAAAGGCTTTGTTCACTGTCACCACTCTGATACGAAACTTAAGTATGGAGGTGGTTAGCTCAGTGTTAGCAAACAGCTAGTCTTTTTCCTGGAAGTCAGAGTAAAACCACAAAATGTCATTTTAATACTTTAATTTGTGTGTGTTTTACACAAACAGGATATAACATGCTAATTAGTGAGACATTAAGATGATTGATGGTAAGTTTTGTTACCGTTGGACAGGGACAAGTAGATGGGCAGTTTGTATGTATAACAAAAGGCTTCGCTAACTATCCAGCAAGAGAGTAAATAATAACATTTCCCAAACAGACAATTTCTAATACAGGGTCTTTTACAGTCATTCAGGCTATGTCAAATTAATTAAGGCCTTAGTTTAGACTTGGACCATTGGTCTCAGGTTCTTTTTTCTATGTTATTTGTCCTGTTTCTATTTGCAAACAGGTATGTGTCAGCCCCTTCCCCTAATTGGTGCCTGCACTTCCTGCTTGGCCCATCGTTCCAATTGCTCCGCCCCTGTCCCGCCCCCGGCCCTCACTGATTGGACTGCTGCTCTGGACCCTGGACATTACTGCCTGTTGTGTAATTCTTTTGCTAAATAAACGTGCAGGAATTAAATTTAAGTTCATTTGATGGCAATGTAGAACAGGCAACTGCCTTTAAAAACGTCTTTCATTTGTTCATGGATGAAATGCGAATATTCTTAATTTTGTGTGTTGATGACAAATATCTTTGTAAATGTAATGTTTACATAATGTTGGCTAAATCCCATGTCTTGGGACCTGTATTAATAGTATTAGAGGAAACTACCTACTGACATTATTTTGTGGGTTTGTTTAATTGTAAAAAAAATAAAAATAAAATTGAATTTTTATAGTAAACTTATTGTGATCACATAAATAAATTAAAACGGTAACTTGCATAACTATAATAGTGTTGCACACTATTGCTTAATACACTAATCAAATTTTTGAAAATCTCCAGAATCTTCTGCATCATTTAATGTTGGGAATATCTTTATTTACACACAGAAAAAGACTAAATTCAAGCACCAGGTGCAATTAAAAGAATAATGGAATATGTATGGATCCAGTTGTTTTCCAAAATAGAGCCAGTTGCTGTATGAGCTCATAGTTCATATTTTGAGAGTAAAGAAAAAAATCATTGTTGAAGAAAACAGACAAGCTCTTTTGTCTATTAGTAATATAATAGTTCTTTTTCAAAATAAAATTCTTCTGCTTCTCTCATGTGATTACTGAGGGGAACCACTGCATGGGTTTTAAATACTGAGGGGGACGGACAGGTTCCTAAATCTTTTGTGGCCTTTCAGTGCAACAAACAAGATTTACCTTTTCTGTTGTGTCAACATAAAACAAAATTAGTCCATGTTAGCAATCCAGCAGTCCACAAATATGTTGCATGTTTGAAGCTTTTTGAATCACTGTTGGGTTTTTTAAAAAATGCTTGTAATAAAATTATGCTTCACATACATGTATTACATTTTGTAAATGTCAAGTCCTAAATGCAACAACCCTAAACTTGCAGACACCCTTCTTATAATTCAATGCTGACCACCCAGTATGATCTCTTTAATGTTTAAATAATCTCTAAATAGGGACACAAGTCCTAAACAATATGTTCCATGCTGCACCTCAAGCCCAAACACTGAAGACTACATCTTTATTTTTGGACATGTGTCTGACCTTGATTATCCAGCAGCACATTCTCTGGTTTGAGGTCTCTGTAGATGATCCTTTTCTGGTGGAGGTGCTCCATACCCTGGATGATCTGAGCAGTGTAGTAACAGGCCCGCGGCTCGTCAAAGCCTGGGTTGTTCTCATCAACATTATAGATGTGATATCTGTTTTCATGAGAGAGACAATGTAGGGTCATGTGAGGAAACATTTATACATTTCTTCAATGAACATCTACTGCAACACACTTGTGGGACGCCCCGTGTGTGCTCCCATATAAATACATTTCTCGGGGTATGCAACAAATAAATGCTATGTGGACACTCAGGACCTTCATGTATGACATTTAACTTAAAACAATCCACTAAAAAGTAACATTTGGTCCAAGGAAAGGTGACATAACATGACACTCTAGTCAAATACATGTTAGATTTCAGTGCATAAGCTGTATGTTAGGATATTAATTGTTAATATTTAGGTTGAAAAGTGTCTACATTATAGCAGACTCCTCAGAGTTGGAGATAGTGTTGGATGCAAGGACATGGGACCAAAAAGGCAAAATGGGAAGATATTCTTGGCAGGAGCACTGACCTTAGATCTCCTCCGTTCATGATGGTCATGACCAGACATAGCTCTGTTTTCGACTGGAAGGCGTAAGCCAAAGACACAATGAACCTGCTGTGAACTCGAGCCAGGATCCTTTTCTCCACCATCGCCCCCTACAGCCAGGAGAGGACAGCAGATATGAGTATATTCTGTATGATTACATGACTCTAGGTTACTATTGTATCATTGTGCATCATTCATCTGTACTTAGTCTGACTCACTAAATGTAGACTTCAAGCATACTGTAAGTTTGCCAACTCTGTGGTGTATTTCATGAGGCTTTCTTCTTCCCTTCCTCTATCTGCACGTTAAATTCTATTCGGTATGGAAACAACAACAACAACAACCCCCACCAATCAGCAACCTAGAGGCTGAAAAAGATTTAGATTGTGCAGTAAAGTAGGCCTGCTTTGTTCACTTGGTGAATTAATCATTTTAATGACAGTGCTTGCTTCCTTACCTGCAAATGTTCCACCAAAACAAGTTTTCCTTGTTGCTATTTTACAGGGGCACCATTGCTACAACCTGGGCGTAGCGACACCTATTGCGATTGTGACTGGTTTAAAGAAATGCAGACAAGCCAGAGCATATTTTTCCCATATAGTAGAATGATAATCTGCAGTTAGAGTTGCTGGCAATGAATCATAAACATTACTACATTACCATCTATCCATCTGAACTTCTTCACAAAGCTGCTTTCTACCTTCAGCTAACATCACTCGTGTGAATGATATGTTGTGAGTGCACAATGTATTTCTCTGGTTGTGCTTCATCTAAGCTGCCCTGATCAAAATAGACTTCAGACAAGTCCTAAGTAGTTCAGCTAAACTACAATGCAGCTACATTTCTTAACTTCTTGAGACTCGAGCTCTTATTTGATATGCATTTTTTATTTCTCTTTGCTATTTGGGCTTATTGGAACCTGATAAGTATAAAAACTAAGTATCATCATAGATGGTAGTGTAAGTGCCCACACATGTGGCCATAAGGCCCCAGTTAAGCAGAATTAAGTACTGTGGTAAAAGAAACCAAAATGTGATGGCCACACATGTGGACACCAGGTTTTAAGAGGTTAATTAACTTCTCATTAAAGTCATTGAGTTGCAAGGCAATGTTGTCTGGCTCTGTGCATCAAGATTTATAAACATGGCAGGATTGTCACTTCATAAGGGGATCAAAATGTACTAATGCTGAGGGGATTAATCATGTAAGCCAAATGTGCCTAACGTCCATCTAGTCTGTTGTTAGACAGCTGGACAACAAAGACACTGCAAATAAAAGATTCACAAAACTAGAACCCAACTACTACAAGACCTGTGTTGTGTAGTGTCCCTAAATTAGGTGCAATTATATCCATAGTCTTGTGTTGCAGCTGCCTATATTGTTCCTCATTGTCAATCCCCTTACCTCGTTGCCTTTTCTCTTCTTCAGCCTTTTCTTGTTGAGCTTTTTGCAGGCGTACAGTTTCCCCGTGGCCTTTGTCTGACAGGCAGACACTTCCCCAAAACCCCCTTTGCCTAAAACACGAAAATCCAAGAACCAGTCCTCTCCCATAGGTTGCATCTCCAGCCACTTCCACTGCAGGAACCTCTTCAGATACATACTCTCCAGGAAGAAAGTGTAGGGCACTTCCTTGAGAAAGTCCATCACGCTGTCCATGGTCTCACTGAAAAGATCGTCCCCGGCTTCATGGTGTTTCTCTTTGACATTGGTGATGCCATTTTCTGGCAGAAAGGGGCAGTAATACTTGGCACCAGGCTCCATGTAACGGGACAAGATCTTGCTCGCTTTCTTGACTCTATCTTCATCCTCTGCATTGTTGTATTCGTCAATATCCTTCCACAGGCGGCAGGGGCCTTTGTACTCATTGTTGGAGTCCAGGAACTCCTGGAAAAGACGTTTTCCGATGGGCTGCTCCACACATACTGTCTGGAAGCCCAGGTCTAAAGTCTCTCTCAGACCCTCACACACTGTGATGTGAGGCAGCTTCAAGCGAGCGTGGTACTTCTTGTCTCGGTTAGATGCCGGGTTGGCAGTGCCATCGACGCTCCCACGGGCTGAGATGTAAGCAGAGTTGGCCACCACTGTTGTCAGGCCACCAATATCCATGGTGACACAGTGGAGACGAGAGGAGGAGGGAAGGAGAAATGTGTGAGATACAGCAAAAGCTACTGAGAAAAGGTGTTAAAGGGAGGCAGAGGTGGAGGTGAGAGCTGGGACGAGTAGACAAAAAAGAAAGTGTCAAAGAAGCAGGGGACACACAAGCAATTTCCAGAGGTGTGATGTGGATTTCCTCTCCCTGCAGTGATTCAGAGGCAGAGTGTGTCGTACATGTGGTTCGCTAAACCTTCCCCTCCTCTCGCACACATGGAGACACACATGCAGATCTACCTGACTCATCACCTTACTGCAAAGGGATTTATCCACTCTGTACCTCTGTAATACTTTATCCCAAGCTAACTGATGTGGACATTGTAGCAGACGAGGAGGGAACAGAGATTCAGGGAACATGATGGACAGGAGAGGCAGAAAATGAAAGAGTGGCGCGAGGGAGAGGAGGGAAAGATATGGCATGAATGTAGTGGGCTGGTAGTGACAGGAATGCTGTGAAGCTGAAAGAGGGAAAGACACAATAGAGTGTTTTCTGCAGAGTGCTGGTGTCAAACTTTGTTGGTCTAATTTTGCTAGTTAAAAACCTTTTCCTCTTTAACAAGAAAAAAACATTGCAAAGCTGCAATGATTCTGAAAACAGAGGTGTCTAGACAGTTTAACATCTTTAAATACAAGAATTCTTTATTGATTAACCTCTGATAATTTAGTACAAAGTACAAAAAATCCAATTAATGCATGTTTTCTTTTAGTTACTTA